ATTCCAGATATCTGATGACGAAGTGAAGCATTATCCTTTCCAGACAGCCAATGATAAAGTAAAGCATATAACCTTTCCAGATATTTGATGACAAAGTGGAACTCTGTTCTCTGTAACATTTAAGATTTTTCATAATATTCTGTTGATACCCTCAGTTTGCTCAAATGGATGAATGCTGTTACATACATATGCATTATGATCTTCCCCCATAAACGAATCTTCCCACTGAACTATATCATTGATAAACACAAATAAAATTGATGACGATTTAAATTATTCAAAGTTATTTATTTCAAATCAAAATTACTCCACTCTCTCATCGCCTTCTTCTACATCTTTTAAACTCAGAAGTTCAAGTGAACCTTGTCCTCTCGTTGTTGATTTGACAAGATCGTCCATCTCTCTGAAACAACCAGGATCAATCAGTAACACCTGAAATGTGAAAAACACAAAAATGCATCAATTTTGGAAATACAATGATTATATAACCAAAGATTTGCCAAGCATGTAGCCATTGTTCATTGTAGTCTACAAGATAGCAAAGTTTCACATCACACCATGATCCCCAAAGCACTATAAAGCTCTATAATGACCTAAGTGTAACTTTAAACCACAGACTGACTCTCTATCTCAGGTCTGGAAACGCTATTACCCCCCCCCCCCCCCCCATTGCTTAAGATGTCTATCAGCTGGATTAATGGGACAACTCGCATGATGACAATCAGTATATTTGTTGAATACAGACACAGCACTCTGGTTAAGATTTTAACGTTTTTGTCATGAATGAAATAAGTTTACAAATATTCTCTGCGATGTGGCTCACTTCAAAATCATGAGCTGTTTATTTTTAATACACTGCCAACGCATGAACAAACTCAATATTTCAGTCAGTTATTCTTTATAAAACTATAAAAAAAAAGAATCATTTTTAGTAAGATAAATTGGTTGGCAGGTATAATTTTGATTGTTTTTTCCAAAAAAAGAGTCACGTTTTAAGACACTAAAAATGTAAATGTAAACCAAGATTGTCTGTAATGATGGGATAATTGTTCACAGAATGATTTTGTTTTGCATATATTGTTTATTAAAACTGATAATACAACTGATAAGCTTACCATTTCTAAATCTCCATCCCATTCCTCATGCTCAATTGTTTTGATAAGTGGTGTTAATTTGTCTTTGACTTTCTTAGCTTCCTTTTTTGGAAGTCTGATTTTAATTCTCATCTGAGCTCTGTCTATTTTCATGATGTCTTGCTCTTTCAATTGCCGAATTACCTCCAATGCCTGCAACAGCAAATATAAAATTTGATCTATTGGTATACAGTTTTAAGACAATTACACTGTCTGTCTCGGCAATTAACATTACCTGAGCATTGCATAACTGGGGAAGCATTCCTGGTGGACTACATTATCTGCAACATGGCTGGGTAAAACTGTAACTGTATATAGACAGTGACAGAAATTGCATTACTGTCTGGTCTGTGTCTATCCACAAATAAATATATTTTGAAAAACAATTTTTTATTAACATGCATTCTTGTTTATTTTCCCGAACAGATTTATCTTGTAAAGATCAATGACTATATTGATTACAAGCGTGTTACTGTTATACTGTTAATATCTTAAACATTCATGCCAAGGAGTTGAATGCTGGTGATACTCATGTGGTACTTGTTTAGATTTCGACAAGAAATAAACAAAGCTTTGAGTGTTTATCTAGCTTTTATTTACCTGTTGTTTTGTACTTCGTGTTGGTTTTACTGAAAAGTGAAGATCTTTCATTCCTCTCTCAATTAAACCGACAGTGTATGGCCTTTTAGTCTCTGGATTGACACACTTTTCTGCTACAATTGTTGCAATATCTCTGAACATTGCGTCTAATTGTTGATGTCGCTCTTTTTCAGAAACTTGAAACTCTCCCTTTGCCAGAATCTGCAATAAAATGACATTATATATTATTATTTTTTTTTAATTCTTTTATTTTTGTTGTTCATATCTTATGCATAATGAATTTTAATATTTAAAACTGCTCACCATTTTACATATTTCTGTTTGATCTTCTGTACCAAAAGCTCTCTTCAAGTCTTCCTTTTTAGACACTTGACCCTTTGAAACATTTGTAAATACAGTGTGTGTCTGTAAAACCTCATCAATGTCTTTCTCTCTGAAAAATAAACATACAAGTCAGTCAGTCACAAGTTAGTCTATAGAGTCTTATACCAGATTAGGTATTTGTGCTCGCGTTCAATTCACGTACGATTCGCATTCGATTCATGTACAATTGACGTACAAATTGAAATACCAATAATTTACATAACAGTTTATATATAGCATATTTTGTGTAGGAAAAATAGGGATCAACCTATTTTTTTTGGAGAAAATCATGGTTATAAAGTTCCAAGTTCGAAAGTCACCTAGGCTCAAACAAGTATAAATTGCTATATAGAAACAGACGAGAAATGCCTAAAAGAACATGAATCATATGTAAAAAATATATGTAAAAAATATATTGTCTCAAATTATCACCACTCAATTAAAAAAAACTATTACAATTTTTAAAAAC